TAGTTTGCTGTGCTCTACCTGCTCACAAGCAGTCAAGGGTGCTTTGGGACACCCTGTATATATATTGTTACGCCCGTCCCTGTGTACTTCGTCTCTGCGAGTCGTCTGTGGAAGTTAATCCTGAAGTTTCTCCCGTCTCTAAGAGATCATCTCCAAACACGTTGCTAAGGGTTGTTGTTAAACAACGGCGGACATCTTGAGAGAAATTATTAACTTGAGAGAAATTAGTAAATGATTAACACTCTTTTAAAAAAACAAAAGGAACTTTAATAATAACACAGAACACAATTAAACAAGGAACACAGAACGGGTAATAACGGTAATCGTAATCTCAAATACGTCCGCCCGGAATGACATCCGTCGCGAGACTCCAAGATGGCCGATCTCTCTCAAGATGTCCGCCGTTGTTTAACAACAACCCTTAGCAACGTGTTTGGGGATGTTCTCCCGGAGACGGTACAGCAGATTCAGGAATAACCGCCACAGACGACTCGCAGGGACGCAACAATATGCATGTGAAATATCAAGAAACATTTCAATTATAACAATTAAAATAACTATTTTGTATTTCATTTTGACATATGTTACATTATTTTTAGAAATTATAGTTAGTAAGATTTCAGATTATACTTCGAAAGAAATGTAATATTATTTTATATAGTACATACAGTTTCTTAGTGCCATGGTTACTTTATATGCACTTTGCCATTATATCGTATTTATATTATATTTGTATTATGTATATTTTTCATAAAAAAAATAGTAATGTATCTTAACGTAGCAGGTCTATTTGCATAACATATGGGTTTAATATTGTGTACAAAGCTTTAATGTTTAGGATAAGAGAATCAAACCTGTAATCGCAATCTTTCTATCCTACACAGGATTAAATTGAATAGTACGTCCTTCAATGCTGTCAATTCACACAGTGCCTTCATCAGTGCTTTCATTAGTGCTATCAATTCAGACATGCCATTCGAATAATATCGTTTTCAGAATACCATGCACCAAGAATCAGCAGTAACAATGAGTCCAACACATTCAAAATTATCAAAGTCCAACCGAGATCTCGAAGGAAGATTTTTCGCTTTCTGGCTGTGGATTCTGGTGGCTACGTATTTGTGAACGTCCCACAAATTGCGAAGTACCTGATAAATCCTTATACGGATTAGCGCTATTATCTCAGATCACTGAGAACACGATTTCTTGTATTATATTTGCGAGTATATATTCATATCTTTTCTGCTTTGCGCAAAATACAGCTATACATCATTGCTGTAGCAGGCGATACTGAACGACATAAATCGATGCTTCATTACGCATTCCTCGCAAGGCGCATGATTAAGAAGAAAGTAATTAATGGTCTACAAATGATAGAGAAAATAAGATATGATACGAATGGAAGTGAGATATGAGTGAAAATGTATTGTATATAGCTTTTAAATGTAGCTGATATTCAGCTTTTGATAAATCTATATTTTATACTTTTAGCGTTCACACGCTAGTGTTCCGCAATTACTCTCTCATTTAATATGTGCAATTTGCATAGATTGTTTTGGAAGAAATATATCCGATATTAATATCTATAAGAAGTATCTATACTAGTAGATGTGGAAATAGGCACTAATAGGATATATATACAGTGTACAATAAGAAGAAAACAAAGATCATGTAAAATTAGCTAAAGAGTTTTAGTAACATTTGTTTTGTTTTTTTGATAAAATAATAATGTTTATATCGCTATTGTTTTCCAATTAATATTAGTAAAATTATTACTTAAAGTCTAATTAAAATGTCATTTTTATTTTATTATTATTAAGTACAATAATTAATTATCACATAAAGTCTATAGTAAAAAAAATTGAAATTTGTAAAATAGATATTATCTAATAACTGTGAGCAAATATAAAAAGATTAAATTATTTTTTTAAATACATTTTTAATATATGTATATACAGGATGTATTATATGTATATACAGGATCTCCGAGAATGAATGGTGGGATTTTATTTGATAATTGTGTATGTCACAATGGTGGTAGTATTATGCGTGGTATTGTGAAATCATCGACTCAAACGTTTATTTATGTATGGTAACCATAGGGCTGCTATCCGCCCGGTTTTCCCTGGATTTGTCCTAGTTTTTCGAACGTCCGGGAATGTCCAGGGGGATTTTTCAAAGTAGTCCGGGTTTTTTGAGCGCGTGATACAAGGCGATGCGCGCGTCGCATTTTGAGGCTGTGTCTGTGTATGTTGTACGTGCGGTATTGTCGGAGCCTTAGGTCGTTGGGATCATTGACAGCGAGAAAAAATAATGTAGTATTACTATTATTAATAATTGTTAATAATAATGATTATTAATAATATTAATGATTATTAATAATTAAAATAAAGATTATGCTATTTTTATCGCTTTATCAGCAGTTGCAATAATTTCACATTATGAATTATAGATGTCCGGGTTTCAATTGAAAAAGTTCGGGGTTTTAAACCTTTCAGTCCTAAATCTATATAATTATACATGGCAGCCCTAGGTAACCATGAATGTGGTATGACGTCATAGCGCTTTTCAGAACGGCAATCCCATGGCGAGAAATCCAAACCTTACCTTGTTAAACTTTTTCTTATGGTGACACATAAAACATGTTGTGTACAGTGTTAAAATCCGAGATTTATGCTATCTCAGGAATAGAATCATATAGAAACAATTGGGAATTACGCCAGATGTTTTTGATCAAATGTAAACGGAAATTGAATTTTATGGTAACATGTGCCGTGCTGTTAATGGGGCACATATCGAAATTTACTGACAAGGGAAGAAAGGCAACCCGGAAATTCAGAAAATTCTGAAACTTTGTGTGCAAGTAGAGTAGTTCATCCGTAACACAAAACTATTTTTTGTTCGTGCAAAATTAAGATTTGAGGAGGTGAAATCACTCTTTGAAAAAAATGTAGACCTTTTTTTGCGAAATAACTGCCAAACGGTGAGAGATATCGAAAAAAAGTTTAAACAAAAGTTGCATCCTTTTTTTATGTCTACAAAGCTGCATATAGATAAGTATCGAAAAATTCATAAACTCGAAAAAAGATCTACATTTTTTCAAGGGGTAATTTCACCCCCTCAAATCTTAATTTTGTACGAACAAAAAATAGTTTTGTGTTACGGATGAATTACTCTACTTGCACACAAAGTTTCAGAATTTTCTGAATTTTCGGGTTGCCTACCTTCCCTTGTGAATAAATAATAAAATAGCTTGAGTTGCATAATTAAAATATTGTACGGGAGTTGTAAAATATCCTGTATATTATAAATTCTATAATGATATAATTGACATATATTTTACGACATATTCAATCAGTCAGAAGAACCAAAATCAATTTTATCTTTATCTATTGTTGACTGATTATCTCAGGTATGTATGTACATATGTACATATATACATACGTATAATATTTATTTAATGTTATCTCTATTTAGCTTAATTATTAATTTTTGTAAAATTTTTTATAAGCGGAACTATCGATGTCTCGATTTAATATGACTAAAATTAAAATATTATTCTTACGTGCTTTGATATCTTTTATATACTAATCGTTTCTTTTTTATTTTTAGAAGGTTTTTCAGTGATTTCGTATACGTTTTGTATTCTTTACTAATAAATATAACATTTAATAGTATAATTTTTTTGCAGAAGAATGTACATTTTTATTTAAAAAATATAATTTTCGAGTTTTGTCGTATTAAGACAAAATAAAATAGCTTTGGAAATTTTTAAATTAAAAAATTATATTGCAAAACGGATAATTACTTGCGCATTGTAATACGTGCAATAGAGAGCAGTTTCTAGAATAATTGTTGTGCGATAAACAAATAAATAAGGATTATGCATTAAACAGTATCTAGATATATATATATATATAAAGTTAGGTATTGATCATACTATTCATTGCTGTAAAATAAGAGAATGCCTTTGTCATAAACTGCAAAATAACACGGATGTTAATAATTCATTAATTTTTTTATGTATGTAATGATATTTAATAAATATAAATCTGTCTTACGTTTCCAAAATATTCTACAGAGAGAACGGGAAGAAAACTTGCCATCGATATTGTAAGAGGTTTTTGACTTCTTAATATTATGAACAAAATATCATTTATAGTTTCTGGTGTCATATAGTCTTCGAACGAAGAGCTGTACGCTATCTGTTTGCTCTAAAATTGTGCAAAGTTATCTAATTTGATAATTATAATAAAATCTTTTCAGCAATATTTTTTCACAATAATTAATCGACCAAATAACAATATTATTAATATATTGAAATGATAATTAGATATTTCATAAATTATTTACCATCTCGCTCAAATCATTTGCTGACCAAGCGCTGATGTAAAATCTTTCGCACGCACTAAGAAATGAAAACACAAATTGACCTTTTACTGCCAAAGGTTGATCCTTTGAAATAAAATAGAATTTTTAATATTTTAAAGTGTGAGAAAAAGAAATAAAAGAAAGCTTTTATTCTTAAGTGCTAATCTTAAACGCAATTTGAATAACAAATAAAGAAACCTTAAATAGTAAGAATTTGTTAATAAACTTACAATAATTAATGGAAAGAGACTACAAACTGCAGCTGTGCCCATGGTAAGATTGAGTTTTAGAATTAAATATTGTATCGTAGCTTGGGTCAGTTCAACAAATCTAATATTTCGATAATAAACGAAATGATATAAAAATATTTTAGGCAATATACCTTATCTTCTTTATTACAAATTAATAGATAAATTTATGTATCTTTTAGCTAGAAGTGCTATTTTAAACATTTCTGCTAGTGTGCATACTCATACAAACATATAATGTAAGTATAATATTAAAATATGTGTAACAATATAACGTTAAATATTATGTTAAACACATTAAATAGAAATATTGTTTTAAATTATTAAATTAATTATAATTAAATTATAGTTAAATTATTAATATTAAAATAAATACGTTACTTACTTGATGATATCTTGATGCTCTTTAATACATGCATGTATAAAATCTCTGGTTTTTGTACTTTCTAAATTATATTGTAATACTTCCAGCCTAGCAGTCGAATAGCAGAGCAACATGGCAATTGAGATATCGGTATTGAAGCATAGAACACATTCTATGCCGCTAAATATTTGCGACACATAAATTAAAAATGATTTAAGTGGTGTATCCATAAAAGATGGATACCACACATCAACAGGAAAACGGTCTTTTGTGATCAGAGGACGAAGACAGATGATCATTCCAGCACAGGACAGCAATAAAGTATTTGCTGCTAATATTAACGAATAACGATTTACATGTTTCTGCAGAATATTTATATCATTCTTATTGGCAGTTTGTAGATAGTTTTCAATTTCTTCAAAGAGATACTGTAAATGATTTTAAAAGTACATACACACATATGCTATTAAGTCTCGCGCAAATTATACATATTAACCTTGAATATTTTCTTTGTTTTTGAAAATATGAAAAAATTAGGGAATAAAAAAACTAATTTAAGGAAATATAATAGATCCATCAAAAATATGGACTTGATTATAACGGTATGATGTTTTAAATTATTAGATTATTTTTGAACATTTTTTTCTACAGAAAAATTTAGCTTATTTAGGTTATTGAAATGTAAAATCTGATGAATGAGTTGGCCAACACGTGTTTGCACTACTTCCAATTGAACAATTAGAGAATATGTTATTTACAGTAATACATTGTATACAATCCAAAGCTTTGTCAGCTAGTGATGCTGGTATCATATTATCAATTATTGCACAAAAACATTTTTATAGTATTATCAAATAATACGAAAAAATGTATTTAGAATGCACGTTCTAATTTAACTCAAGAAATAATAAAAAATATTTAGCATTTATTTATTTGTCATGCTCGAAAGTGGATTAAGATATCTATACAATTATTATTTTAAATATACATTTTTAATAAAATGTCAAACTTTCGTAATTGTTGCTTCTTTTAGTTTATTACCAAGTAATAATTTTCTAATTTCTCTTGATTTTTCGTACTAGAAATCATATTTTGAATTTTTTCTAACATCTGCTTTGACGTTATCAAATCAAAAGATACAATTCAATTTGAAGAAGAAAAAACAACAATGATTTTGAAATGATCTTGAGAGAAAACCGCGAGCAAAAATTTGTTTTATACTATTACATTTGTTTACTTGAATAATGCAATTCCACTCTCTTTTCCAAAAATCTTTTTTTGTATCTCTAAAAATAACAGACATATCAAAATGTTCAAGATAATCCTGTATATTTGAAGCAATCCTGTTTATAGATTTTACTAATTGTAAGACATAATAAATAATAAAACACAAAATGACAGTTATTAATGGCGGTTTTTAACATAAAATTAAATGTGATAATTGTATTGAACATGAATACATTTATGATAAAACAAGCACATTAAAATTTTCATAAATACATTAATTATTTACAAGATAAATTATAAAAATGTTTTGTAATTTTTATGCAAATCTTGTCTAATCTTTATGTGTAAATTTAAACTTATTTATCATTTTCAGAGAAATTGTAACATTTTCCAATTTTGCTTACCATTGCACGTTATTACACGTTTTTATTTTCTTATATTTAATTTAAAATAATAGAAGCTATCATACCTGAAGTCGCTCTCTTTGAATATGGCATATTATAAGATTTAGGATCCCATCAGTAACACAAGCAGCTACGAATATAGTTTTTAACACCAAAATGCTGTCATCTTGATTGTGATAAATGAAGAGCATCTCGCCGATTAATTGAAATATCAAATTGCCAAAAGTGAGGCACCAAACAATATTTCGAAGAATATTGTAAAATTTTCCGGATATTGGTTTTGGCGATGTACTGGATAACACTCCTAATATTTCAAGAATCTGAAGCAGTTGTTGAGGTTTCAACTGAAAACGTGCCATTTCTGCGTGTAGTTAGTTCTCGAATACAACCCGAGCTATGCACTCGACTTCTTATCATTAAATATTTAATATACGCGCTATTGCAGTATTTCAGAGGGAACGCAATTAAGGGTATAGAGTATAGAGACTCAAAATTCATTATAAGTTCTAAATAATTAATATATGGATAGGGGTGCTTAATAGATAGCATATTTTGCGTTGTTTTCCACGAAGATACTAAGACCAAATTATAGTCTCAAGAAATGGCTTGATTTATGAATTTTAAAGCATGGTAAAGCTGATAGAATCTAGTATTTTCCTTAAACGCTGCTTGACTTGCTATTTATCGTTGATTAAGATAATTAATTCTCTATAATAATGCTCGAGACTAGTACAAAATATACAGAAGGTCGTATAGATAAAGTACAGACAAGAATATCATCGTATTCCTTGTAAAAAACATTTTCATTCTTTAGCAAAATTTCCGGAATTATATGCATATATGTAAGGAATACATGCAAGGAATTAATACAGTTTATATAAGTAACAGCTTATTTAATAGATTGTTATATTGATATCATTGTTTATTTTTTGTAAAATAAAATATGCTAAAAAACACACACATATACATAGAACTTTTCTGTTAATAATAATAAGAGACTGGTACTATCTTAATAATTACTTGTGCTATTTTATAAACAATTTGATAGTGCTACTTTACAGTATTAAAAAGAGTACCGTTTTAAAACAAAATTGCTATTTTTATTTTAAATATTTAAATTATAAGTACTATTGAGCAGGAAAAGAAAGAATGGACAGGTAAAAGTTTGCCTGTCCTAAAAATCGCTTCAAGGAACTTTTATCTCAAATATTTTTCGATAAAACTTGTATTTTAAAATTTGTTGTAAGAGTAGTAATTTTTAATATCAAATAATAATTTTTAGTTATTTGGTATATATAAAAAATTGATATTTAGTTATTAATTTATATTGCGCATGCAATGTGTTATGCCTCGGGTGAAACACAGGAAATTCGGGATCGTTGCCAGATTAGAATTTGGAAATTCGGGATTTTCCATCGGCTTACCAGTAGAATTAGCATTCGTGTATTTTTAATAAAATCTTATATTCACCCATAATTACTCTTGATTACAATATCTTCACGCGTAACCCGTATCGCGTGTCACGTTAGTGGATATCTTCGCGTGCGCGTGTCCGGAGTCGAGTTTATGTCGCGAGACACTCCTCGATTTCCGTGATTTTGTAACGTTTGACTACTCGATTTTATTAATTAATAATTATTATCATTTTGTACAATTAACACTTGCGACACTGTTCGATATATATTAACAATACTGACTGCTCGGTATAAATTAATGATTGTGACTGCCCGCCGCTCGTTAGCGATTAGCCGCTCGTTGTCATGTGTCAGCGTATTTTGGTCCCGTAAAAGTGTGATATTTATTTCAGGTTCTTCTTCTTCTTCTTCATCTTATCTGGCCACTTGTGATCAAGGGTGGATCAACAAATTCGGGCCAACAACACAGGTTATAGTGAGAATAAGTTTCTGGGAGAAATTATAATGTGAAACCTCTTTCTGAGGCATGTGGAAAAATGGAAGGATAGAGTTTTATATGATAATTTGTGGAAAAACCTTTTTTGAGGCATGTGGGAAGGACGGAACCCGAGCGGAATCGAAGCTGGAATCTCTCGATTACCAGGCCGCGACTCTACGCCCGGCGCCACGCGTCGCCCCTTTATTTTAGGTAAGTCTGTATGTCTGTTTCATAGGCTGTTTCTTTTGTTGATTGTATTGTCATATCTGTCGTCGTTAGTTTACATTTTTCTTTTGAATTTTCCCTGTATTTTTAATTATTCTTTTGTGTCCGCATCGTCCTTTAATTGTTTTAATTTTATTAACAAGATAGCCAATCCTGAATCGTACAACATCCGTGCTTTTTCATCCTTTGCTTGCCGCATGGGTAATGTTATTACAATAATTACTTTTTCTGTGTGCGCGGCATATCTTTAATATGCGTAACGCGATATTCGGATGCAAGTCGTGGTTGTTTTTTTCTCGCTTCCTCCGGCTCATCTTCGCTGCTGCTACTCGCGTTATCGGTGTTCTTTTTTCGTAGTCGCGAATTCTTTCGGTCGCGTGTATTTTCTTCGCGCGTTTTTTTCTGGCTACCAACTTTTATTTTATTTGTATTAGTTTTCCGTTGTATTAATTTTTCGTTTAGACTCCAGCATTTGTTGTGTCCGGTCTTTTTGCAGTGCTTGCAATATTTATTTATCGCATTTATCCGCGAGGATTTTTCCGATTTAAGGATCGACTACTTCGACAATCACGTCCGTAATGCCCGTTTTTTCCACAATTAAAGCATTGCAGAGTCGAACTTCGAATCTGTCGCGAGTTACTCGATTCGAATTTATTTTTATTCGCAAAGTTGCTTGTTCTCGCCGTTGTCGGTCCGATAAGTTTTTCTTCGGCACTTGCGCCCCTTATCATTTCTTGGAGCGTCGTATATCGTTGCGCGCGTACGAGTACCTTGAGTTCGTTGCGTAACCCGATTTGAAAGTTTATTAACGCTTGCTTTTTAATCGTTTGTTGGATCGTGCGTTTCGATAGTGAGAAGTGTTTTTCTCCTTGGATCATAGAATCGTATAACTTCATTGCCAATAAATCGCCGCGTTGTCCGAAAGCGTGCGCGGTTTCATTTGACTTTTGTTGCAATGAATTAAACTCGATTTGTAAATGCGTAATACTTTGTTTAGTTTGGTAACAAGTCTCGAGTTGCTGCTTTAATTTATTGTAAGTTTGAATATCTCGCGTCTCAAAATCCTGCATCGCTTTCCCTTTTAATTTTGTATATAAAATTGGTTGAATTAACGATTCTTCGTCCGCGGGATTTATGTTCTGAACGGCGTACGTGCATGCGTTTAAAAATTCTATCAATTTATGCCGCGATGTTCCGTCGAACTCGGGAATCATTATTCTTGCTTCCTTTAACGGCAGATGATTCGAGGCGATGCTTCGTCGATTTATGATATCGCTTTCAGTTCGCCCATATGTTATATCGAATGCAACGTTATCGTCTTCCCTGTGGTTATATGCATGACGAGGTAAATGTGCATTCGCGTTTTTTAGTCGCGCCATTCGCCTATTTAACGAATTTATTTCCGCGCGTATTTCATTTAAAATGTCGATAAGCTGTGTGTAGTCTCCTCTTTCTTCACGGTTTGTCTCGGGAGGCAATGTGTGATCTTCCTCCGCTATATTACGGCCCATCTTTCGGATGGATCGTCGTATGTTTTCAATTTCCTCATCTACCATGCCTTGCGGTAGGTTTGCGGGTGTGCGTTCGTGCGGATTACGCGCTTCGGCCATATTATTTTCCCGTTGGCGGTAAATTTCTTCTGGATCGAACTGGTCGCTCTCGTAAAAGGTTAGCGAAAATTCGCGTCGTAAGGATATTGTGTAACGATACCGTTACTAACGGCCTAGCGGGCCGTTCCACCACGCGCAATACTTGGAGTTCTGCTAATAAACGATCTCGTACGTCTAGTCTCGCGTTGAGTGGGGTCAGTCGTATTACGCGGGAGTAGGCTTTTGTCGAAACTGTTAAACGGAAAATCGCGTTCGGTGACGATGTTCGCTGATAACTCGGGCTCGTTTTCGCTCGAGTATTGCATTTCTAAGTTTCTTCGCACGTTATAAAAATTTTCTCACGGTATTAAACTTACACTAATCGCTCGTTGCGCTGGTTCGCTTAATAACCACGATCGGTTCGCTATCGATTTCGGTATGTTATAACATTCACGCAATTAAAACGTATTTATTAAGTTTTTTGGACTTACAATAGTATGACGGCTCGCATGTTCGCTCGCTATGTCAGTAGGTTGCTGACGCTACAGTCTTTCGCTTAGCGGCTGATACGACTGGCGGTCTGATGTTCGTCGTACGGCGGTCGTTGTCCGGCGACGATGCGTTGCCCGTAGAGTTGTCGTAGGTCGCGATGCTTGGCGGCTGACGTTTCTGCTACGGCTGTTGCAGCGATGTTCGTCCTGTTGTCCGTGTATAGTCCTCCGATGATTGTGGTTTCCGTCAGCTTACTTTTACATGTGCTAGCGTGCCTACCCTGTTTACATCCTTGGTGCTTTGCAGGTCTTGGTTTGCAGGGCTTGGCTGCTGCTTCCGTCCGTCAGCTTCAATCGATTGTTGGCGTGCCCGTTTTTTAATACAGTTGTGTCTTTTGCAGGTCTTAACTGGGTGAGCTCGCGGGCGTCCTCCGGCAGATCCCACCGCTGCCACCAATTTTGTTATGCCTCGGGTGAGGCACAAGAAATTTGGGATCGTTACCGGATTAGAATTTGGAAATTCGGGATTCGTCCATCGGCTTACCAGTAGAATAAGCACTTGTGTATTTTTAATAAAGTCTTATATTCACTCACAATTACTCTTGATTACAATATCTTCACGCGTAACTCGTGTCGCGTGTCACGTTAGCGAATATCTTCGCGTGCGCGTGTCCGGAGTCGAGTTTATGTTGCGAGATTTACTCCTCAATCTCCGTGATTTTGTAAGGTTTGACTACGCGATTTTATTAATTAATAATTATTATTGTTTTGTGCAATTAACACTTGCGACTGCTTCGTATATTTTAACAATACTGACTGCTCGGTATAAATTAATGATTGTGACTGCCCGCTGCTCGTTAGCGGTAGGTGTTTTTATTGTTTTTCCTTCGATTGGTTTTTTTGGAGGGAATCGCTTAGCGATAACATGGTCGTGTCGCTCGTTTTGGGCGGCAAAGCCCGGGTGCAAGCCAAGGAAGTTCAAAGTCGAACTTCTTTGCTTGCACTTTCGCAATTTCCTGAGTTCTGTCACCTTTATTTCCGCGTTTTCGCAATCGGAGTGATGGCGTGGTCACTTAGGCTTCGCGCGTGGTTCGCTGCGTCAGCGCTTCGCGCAGTCAACGCTCACAATGTTAAGGTAAATGTCCCAATGGCCGGACATGT